GTGCCGCCCACCCAGGGATCTACTGGCGAGTTCCGGTGCCTGTGTGAGGCGCCCTACGTCACTGTCACCATCGCCAACGGATCCACCTGCGCCCTCGCCACTGAGAGTGAGTTGTCTGCCTTAGCGGCGCCTCAAAAGTCAATCCAGTATGTGCTGCCGAGTTCAGGTGCTTGTGTGAGGCGCCCTGTGTCCCTGTCACCGCCCCCAAGGCTCCACCTGTGCCCTCGCCACTGCGAGTACGTGCCTTGCTTCGGCCACTTTCTCGGACGTTGCTGTGCTTCTTCCAGAATAATCGATTGTTTCAAGCTATCTTGTGAGGTGCGGCATGTGTGCCAATGCCTCCCACCTGCTCTCCTGCTCCAAGGCACTGTAATTGCTTCCCACTCCCCGTGCTCTCATGTCTCGCGGCCCGCCCTACCACGTCCTCCCTGTCAACAGCAGCCGTCGTGGGCATCTTCCTCAGCTGCTTCGATCGTGGGGCTTGCTCTGCTTGCTCTGAAACCCCTCTAATCTTCACTCTACCCCTGTGTCGTAACTGTACCGCAGCCTCCACGTGAAAAACAGCCGACAACAGCAGCCATTATGGGCATCTCCCTCTGCTGCTTCCCGGGGCCTGTGCCGCCTGCACTCAGAAAGCTCAGTACACGTCCTTTGTTCCCCCATCATGCTCTCATGCCTCGTGGCCCTCCCTACCTCGCAGCCACCTCGTCCTCCCTGTCAACAGCCGCCATCGTGGGCATCTCCCTCAGCTGCTTCGTGGGGCTCTCTGTGCTGGCAGCCGTGCTGCTCATCCTGTTGCGGCCCAAGAGGAGGAGTAAGTCACAAGGGACCAGAGCAAGGTACCATGCGCAATATTTCAAAAAGAGTTGCCAGACCAATCCAGTAAGAAACCCGCATGGCCCATGCCTCACATTCCTACCCCATTGAGAGAGAAGGGTGCTTTGACTGCCTGCTGCTATCGCTTTTCCTAACAGCCCTACAGCCTACTCTGTTCCCCACAACACCTCCTTTCCGCGAGCACACCCTGATCTCTCTCTCCCTGGGTGGTGACCCCAACCGCCAGACCCCTGACTCTGACCTGCCTCTGACCGCCAGAGCACTCCCTCTGACCGCCAGAGCCCTGCCTCTGATTGCCAAAGCCTTGCGCAGCATCCCTCGGGCGGCAACCCTTGGGCAGCATCTTTCAAGCAGCAACCCCTGGGCAGCATCCCTTGGACAGCATCCCTTGGGCAGCATCCCTTGGGCAGCATCCCTTGGGCAGCATCCCTCGGGCAGCATCCCTCGGGCAGCATCCCTCGGGCAGCATCCCTCGGGCAGCATCCCTCGGACAGCATCCCTTGGGCAGCATCCCTTGGACAGCATCCTTTGCGTAGCATGCCTTGGGAAGAATGCCTTGGGAAGCATCCCTCGGGCGACATGGCTCGGGCCCTCGGGCGGCATGCCTCGGCCGGCATCCCTCGGGCGGCATCCCTCGGGCAGCATGCCTCGGGCGGCATCCCTCGGGCGGCATCCCTGGGGCGGCATCCTTCGAGCGGCATGCCTCGGCCGGCATGGCTCGGGCGGCATGGCTCGGGCGGCTTGGCTCGGGCGGCATGGTCGGGCGGCATGCATCGGGCGGCATGCCTCGGGCGGCATGCCTCGGGCAGCACCCCTCAGGCGGCATCCCGTGGGCAGCATCCCTCGGCGGCATGCCTCGGACGGCATGCCTCAGGCGGCATGGCTCGGACGGCATGGCTCGGGTGGCATGGCTCGGGCGGCATCCCTCGGGGGGCATCCCTCGGGCGCCATCCTTCGTGCGGCATGCCTCGGGCGGCATCTTTCGGGTGGCATGGCTCGGGCGGCATCCCTCGGGCGGCACCCCTCGGGCGGCATGCCTCGGACAGCAACCCTCGGGCGGCATCTCTCGGGCGGCATGCCTCAGGCAGCATCCCTCGGTCAGCATCCCTCGGGCGGCATGCCTTGGGCGGCATGGCTTGGGCCGCATGGCTCGGGCGGCAACCCTCCGGCGGTATGGCTCGGGCAGCATGGCTCGGGCGGCATCCCTCGGGCAGCATGCCTCGGGCGGCATCCCTCGGGGGGCATGCCTCGGGCGGTATCCCTCGTGCGGCAGGCCTCGGGCGGCATGGCTCGGGGGGCATGCCTCGGGCGGCATGCCTGGCCCTAAACCCCCCGGGTGGCATGCCTCGGACAGCACTCGTGAGCGGCATGCCTCGGGCGGCTATTAGAATAGCCTACTATATTCACTAGTCTACATAGATTTATTAGTCTTGGGTAAAGTTAAGCACTCCACTACAATTAGGGTGTAATAACCCTAATTGAAGGTTGGGTTCCCAATTTGGTAGGGTTCCCAATTTGGTTGGATCCACAATTATTTGGGACCCCCAATAATTCCCACTAGAATTATTGGACCACCAATAATCCCAACCAGAATTATTGGTGGGGGCCAATAATCTTGGCCAACTCCCAACAGACCCTTCCTTCCTCCCTTTTCTCACATTCCTATGTAAACCCTTGTGCTTTCCCTCTAATGAACTTTTCTAAGCTCACGTTTTCTCTCAGCAGCATCCCTTGGGCAGCATCCCCCCGGGCAGCATCCCTTGGGCGGCATCCCTCGGGCGGCATGGCTCGGGCAGCATGGCTCAGGTAGCATGGCTCGGGCGCCATGGCTCGAGCGGCATGGCTTGGGCCGCATTCCTCGGGCGGCATCCCTTGGGCGGCATGGCTTGGGCGGCATTCCTCGGGTGGCATGCCTCGAGCGGCATCCCTGGGGGGGCATCCCTCGGGCGGCATGCCTGGGGTGGCATCCCTTGAGCGGCATCCCTCGGGCGGCATGGCTCGGGCGGCATCCCTCAGGCAGCATGCCTACGGCATCACCCCTCGGGCGGAATGGCTCGGGCAGCATCCCACGGGGGGCATTCCTCGGGCAGTATCCCTCGGGCGGCATCCCCTGTTGGAGATAGGCTGCAACTCGGTTGGCACAATTTTGTGTGTTAGTAATTTGTCGATTTTAGGACTAGGCATTCTCGTTAGGTTGGGTGTAGCCTTGTTTTCATCCCCAACCTATCCTAACCCAATCCATCCCAAATCCCCACGATTTGGGAGGATTCCCTTGGGATTCCCTCTAATTCTCCCTTATTCCTTCTCATCCTCTCCGTTGTCCGGTACTTAAGGATGTATGCTCTTGGTTATTCAATCAATCAAGTTCTCAGTTTCTGACATCCCCCGGGCAGCATCCCTCGGGCGGCATGCATCGGGCAGCATCCCTCGGGCAGCATCCCCCGGGCGGCATCCCTCGAGCGGCATGCCTCGGCCAGCATGGCTCGGGCGGCATGGCTCAGGAATCATGTCTCGGGTGGCATGGCTCGGGCGGCATGCATCGGGCGGCATGGCTCGGGCGGCATCCCTCGGGCGGCATCCCTCGGGCAGCATCCCTCGGGCGGCATCCCCTAGGGGCATCCCTCGGGCGGTATGCATCCCCTGGGCGGCATGGCTCGGGCGGCATCTCTCGGGCGGCATGCCTCGAGCGGCATGCATCGGGCGGCATCCCTGGGGGGGCATCCCTCAGGCGGCATGCCTCGGGCGGCATGCCTTGGGCGGCATGCATCCCTCGGGTGGCATTCTTCTGACAGCATGCCTCGGGCGGCATCCCTCGGACGGCATCCCTCGGGCGGCATGGCTCGGGCGGTATCCCTCGGAAAGCATGCCTCGGGCATCACCCCTCAGGCGGCATGCCTCGGACGGCATCCTACGGGCAGAAATCCCTGGGGCGGCATGCCTCAGGCGGCATCCCTCGGGCAACATCCCTCGGGGCCATGCTTCGGGCGGCAGGGCTCAGGCGGCATGGCTCAGGCAGCATGGCTCGGGTGGCATCCCTCGGGCGGCATCCCTCGGGCAGCATCCCTCGGGTGGCATCCCTCGGGCAGCATCCCTCGGGCGGCATCCCTCGGGCGGCATGCCTCGGGCAGCATCCCTCGGGCAGCCTCCCCCGGGCGGCAGCCCTCGGGCGGCATGCCTTGGGCAGCATGGCTCGGGCGGCATGGCTCGGGCAGCATGGCTCAGGCGGCATCCCTCAAGTGGCATCCCTCGAGCGGCATCCCTCGGGGGGGATCCCTCGGGCGGTATGCATCCCTCGGGCGGCATGGCTCGGGCAGTATGCATCCCTCAGGCGGCATCCCTCGGGCGGCATCCCTGTGGGGGCATCCCTCAGGCAGCATGCCTCGGGCGGCATCCCTTGGGCAGCATGCATCCCTCGGGTGGCATCCTTCGGTTGGCATGCCTCGGGCATCCCTCTTCAGGCGTCATGCTTCGGGCGGCATCCCACGGGTGGCATCCCTCGGGCGGCATGCCTCAGGCGGCGTCCCTCGGGCAGCATCCCTCGGGCACCATGCTTCAGGAGGCATGGCTCAGGAGGCATGGCTCAGGCGGCATGGCTTGGGTGGCATCCCTCAGGCGGCATCCCTCGAGCGGCATGCCTCGGCGGCATGCCTCGGGCGGCATCCCTAGGGCGGCATCCCTCGGGGGGTATCCCTCGGGTGACATGCCTCATGCGGCATCCTTCGGGCGGCATCCCTTGGGCGGAATCCCTCGGGGGGCATGCATTGGGCGGCATGGCTCGGGCGGCATGCCTTGGGTCCCTCAGGCGCCATGCTTCGGGCAGCATGGCTAAGGAGCAAGGTGCAAAAAAACGGTGGTCGTTTTAAACGGGCCGTTTAATACGATCGTTTTTTACGGCATTTTTGGGAAAAAAACGCTGTTTTTTTGTTTGAGAAAACCTGTTAAAAAAAAAACTTCTTTTTCGACTTTGACAAGCACAAGTCACTCCCTAAGACCTCTAGCCGTCAAGGCGCCCACAAATTCGCACTACAATGCAATGACCAGAGCTCTAACACCATACGCCTCCCTCTAACTAGCACCTACCCTCCCCCTACTCCTCCTCCCAGTCCTCGGCCTCCTCCTCCCCTACTCCTCCTCCTACACCTCCACCTACCCTCCTCGTTCTCCTTCTACTCCTCCATTTGGCATCCACTTCCTAATCCTCCTCTTCTTCCTCTTCCTCCTCCTCCTCCCCCTGCTCCTCCTCCTCCTCTTCCTCCTCCTCCTCCTCCTCCTCCTCCTCCTCCTCCTCCTCCTCCTCCTCCTCCTCCGATTCCTCTTCCTCCTCTTCCTCCTCTTCCTCTTCCTCCTCCTCGGCACGCTTCCTCTTGCCCTTTTTTCCTCCGCTGCTCTTCCTAGCTCTCTTCCCTGCCCGGTTCTTCAAAGAGCTCTTCTTCTTACGCCCGGCCGAGCATCCAAACGTGCTCCAATCAATGGCGCACGCCACCACATCCTGTCCTTCCTCTTGCTCCGCGACCTCGGGTTCCACTGGGGGCCCTTGTGGCATGCTGCAGCCTTCCTTCAGCTTTCCTCAAGCAAGGTGAGCGTACAACTTGGCACGCGCCTCTTGCTGCTGGTCGAATGCTGACCTGGCGCGCCTGCTGAAGGCGACCGAGGTCACATCGATCATAGTCTTGGCACTGAGGTTGTTATGGTCGCGCCGCTGAACTCGAGCCATGGCCGACCACCATCGCTCGACCTCTGACGACGTGACCGTCTGTGAGAGAATTCTCACAGCCACCTCCTGCAGGTGTCGTACCTCCCCGCCGTAGATCAGCCACCACTCCGCCTTTGTCAACCTGCCGCTCTCCACCAGTGTGGATGCAGCCCACTTGCGTCCTTCCCCCCCAGTTTCCCCGCCCCCTTGTGGAAGGCCGCCAGCTGCGCTTGCAACAGCGTCCGTCGTCCGGGGTCGTCCTCTCGTGCCTCCAACACGAGGTCAGCCACTTTGCAGATCTCTATGTCACCCCAAACATCACCCGAGAACTGGTTTAGGGGGCTCAAAAGCCACCCTAACGCTTGGAGGGGGTTGTGCAACTGCCCATCCCACCTCCTCGCGATGATCCGCTTCACGTCGACCATGAATGCCGACCGATCCTTTGACTCGAGCAGTTTTGTCTTCTTCACAAAGAAGGTGGCTGCAGTAGCAGGATTGGGGTGGCGGGCATGCATGAGAGATGGTACGCGGGTCATACAATGGGCGTACAGCCACAACGCAAACACCTAGGCTAAAGGTAAGAACAGAGAGTGCGTCGCTTACCGGCCGCGCTTACCGGCCGCGCTTGCCGCCTCGTTGGTCCTCATGGTGGCCTCAAACATGAGACCATACAACTTGCCCATGAGCAGCGACCGCTTGTCCACTGCTCGCAGCACCTCATACACCGGAAGCATGAGGCGGAGGACGACGTTCACCGACTCCCAGAACGTGTCCTCCAACATCAGCTTCCAGATCTCGCGGCCCTCGTCGGTCCCCGAGACCGCCACCCCCTTCCATTCGGCGCTTATCACCATCCGCTGCAACTGCTCCTTCACCGCAAGGAACCGCGTGATCATGATCACCTTGGTTCCAAACCGCGTGGTTCCGGGCTTGACAAGCTCGAGCTCGCTGAAGATTTCTCAGAAGAGAGTTACGGCTGAGGCGCTGTTTTTAACCATCATCACCACTCGCTGCGCCTCCGACAGCACCTTGTTCACGACTTTAATCCTCCCCATGTCGTGCAACATGAGGTCCAAACAATGAGCAGCACAGTTGGTGAAGAACACGGCAGGAAAGCCGTCCTTCAAGAGGGAGGCGGCTTTCTTATTGTTACTTGCGTTGTCCATTACAACCTGGACAACGTACCTGTCACCAACCTCGCAAATTCCACGGCGTATCAAGCCCGCCAAGAAATCCCCAGTTTTTTTGGCGGTCTTCGAGTCCACCACGTCGACGAGCAGGGGCCCGCTGTCATTCTGCGCGATGACACACACGAGGGCCCGGTTCTTCAAGCAAGACCAACCGTCGACTGAGATGCTGCAGCCGACAGTTCTCCAAGTGTCCTTCAGGGGTGACACCAAGTCATTGGTGTCGGCCTTCAGCTTCTGCAGTAGGGGTCCAGAAACCATATACGCGAAGGGAAGCTTCTATTGCTTCCCAAACGCGATAGTGGCGTTCACGAACGCCTGCAATGCCGGGGACCTGGTGGGAACAGTAAAGAGGATCTTAGCGCGATTCCTGACTTGGAGGCGGAATGCCCAAGACCAGGAGCCCACAAAGCTTGGCGGACATAACTGGGGGGGCAGGTGGATGGGGAGGGACTCACTGGGAACAACGAAACGCCCAGTCGTTTTCCGCCACCGCCGTCGCCCACAGGTAATCCAGTCGCTGCCGCCCTTGCTGGTCCGTCAGCTCGCGAATGTCGAGCTGACCGCCGCGCGGAGCCTGCGTCCCGTCGACGGTCGACATGGAGCCCGGAATCGAAGCCGAGCAAGAAGAGCGCGTTGCCTCACCTTTGGCGCACAGATTCTGCGCGAATGCCGAGGTGCAGGCGGCGACGTTCTTCGCTTTCGCAGCAGGGGTGCCGAACATATGCTCCTGAATACTTCTCGCATTGGTCGTCACTGGCTGGTGGCAGTGAATGCACTCCGTCTTCAAAAGCCGGCCCTCGTCATTATAAAATCGCTTCACGTGCTCCCACATGGGAGAAGGGGTGCGCGGCATGGCGGCTAACCTACGACGGGCTCGCTTGTCCTGAACGTGCGCACTCGTTGCGTGGGCGAATGACCAGGTAAGAAATCTGCTAGCTACCTAGCTTAGATCGATGCGGGAATTCAGACACGAGTACTCACCTCTGCAGATGTGCTCCACGTTTGTAAGTGAGAGACATGTGTGGAGTCGTCAGAGACGTTTGAGAAAGCGGAGGGGAGGGATGCAAATTGGCGGGGGGGTGGAATTTCCGCGACGCGACGCCGTCGCATGCTGTCGCACTGTGCGAAATATACCCCTTTTGCCGGGATCTGTACACCACATCGTTGGCGAAGCGGGAATATAATTCGCAACAGTGTTGCGAACTAGGTTCAATGCGCGGCTCGTAAGTTCGTTCGATGCGCGCCTCGGACACATTTCGCGACGACATGATTCCAACATTTTGCACACAACGAATTCGACTCGGTAAGAAACATGGACCCGATATACGTCGTCTACATGGTGGTGCAAAAAATACGATCGAAAAAAACCATCGTATTTTTGCACCAGCACAAAAATGCACTCTGACCGTTTTTAACCGTGTAATACGGCCGAAACCTTCGGTACCGTACCATACGGTCAAATTTTGAAAAAAACGTTGTTTTTTTGCGCCTTGCTCAGGAGGCATGGCTCAGGCGGCATGGCTCGGGTGGCATCCCTCGGGCGGCATCCCTCGAGCGGCATGCCTCGGGCAGCATCCCTAGGGCGGCATCCCTCGGGGGTATCCCTCAGGTGGCATGCGTCATGCGGCATCCTTCGGGCGGCATCCCTCGGGCGGCATGCATTGGGCGGCATGGCTCGGGCGGCATGCCTTGGCGGCACCCCTTGGGCAGCATGGCTCGGCGGTATCCCTCGGCCAGCATGCCTCGGGCATCACCTTCAGGCGTCATGCCTTGGGCGGCATCCCACGGGCGGCATCCCTCGGGCGGCATCCCTCGGGCGGCGTGCCTCAGGCGGCGTCCGTCGGGCAGCATCCCTCGGGCACCATGCTTCGGGCGGCATGGCTCAGGGGGCATGGCTCAGGCGGCATGGCTTGGGTGGCATCCCTCGGGCGGCATCCCTCGAGCGGCATGCCTCGGGAGGCAAGCCTCGGGCGGCATCCCTAGGCGGCATCCCTGGGGGGTATCCCTCGGGCGGCATCCTTCGGGCGGTATGGCTCGGGCGGCATGCCTCGGACATCACCCCCCGGGCGGCATGCCTCGGACGGCATCCCCAGGCAGCATCCATGGGCGGCATGCCTTTGGCAGCATCCCTCGGGCAGCATCCTCGGCGCATCCTTCGGGGGTATCCCTCGGGCGGCATGCCTCAGGAGGCATCCCTTGGTCGGCATCCCTCAGGCGTTATGGCTCCGGCGGCATGGCTCAGGCGTCACTCCTAAAGCGGCACGGCTCGGGCAGCATGCCTCGGGGGCACCCCTCTGGCAGCATGGCTCGGGAGGCATGGCTCGGGCAGCATCCCTTGGGCAGCATGGCTTGGGTGGCATGCCACGGGCAACATGGCTCAAGCAGCATGGCTCGGGCGGCATCCCTCAGGCAGCATGGCTCGGGCGGCATGGCTCGGGCGGCATGCCTTGGGCAGCATCCCTCAAGCGGCATGCCTCCGGGGGCATGCCTCGGGCGGCATCCCTGGGGGGGTATCCCTCGGGTGGCATGCCTCATGCGGCATACTTCGGGAGGCATCCTTCGGGCGGCATGCATTGGGCGGCACCCCTCGGGCGGCATGGCTCGGGCGGCATGCCTCGGGCATCACCCCTCGGGCGGCATGCCCCGGGCGGCATCCCCCAGCGGCATCCCTCGGGCAGCATCCCCGGGGTGGCATCCCTCGGGTGGGCATCCCTCGGGCGGCATTCCCGGGTGACATGCCTCGGGCGGCATGTCTTAGGCGGCATGGCTCGGGCGGCATCCCTCGGGGGGCATCCCTCGGGCGGCATCCTTCGGGTGGAATGGCTCGGGCGCATGCCTCGGACATCACCCCCGGGCGGCATGCCTCGGACGGCATCCCCCAGGCAGCATCTCACGGGAAGCATGCCTTTGGCAGCATCCCTCGGCAGCATCCCCTCGGGCGGCATCCTTCGGGGGGTATCCTCGGGCGCATGCCTCGGTAGGCATCCCTCGGGCGGCATCCCTCAGGCGTTATGGCGCCGGCGGCATGGCTCGGGCGTCATTCCTGAATCGGCATGGCTCGGGCAGCATGCCTCGGGCGGCACCCTCGGGCAGCATGGCTCGGGCGGCATGGCTCGGGCAGCATCCCTTGGGCAGCATGGCTTGGGCGGTATGCCACGGGCAACATGGATCAAGCGCATGGCTCGGGCGGCATCCCTCAGGCAGCATGGCTCGGGCGGCATGGCTCGGGCAGCATGCCTTGGGCGGCATCCCTCGGGCGGCATGCCTTGGGCGGCATGGCTCGGGCCGCATGGCTCGGGCGGCATGCCTTGGTGGCATGGCTTGGGCAGCATGGTTCGGGCGGCATCCAAAAACAGCATGCCTCAGGCAACATGGCTTGGGCGGCATGCCTCGGGCGGCATGCATCCCTTGGGTGGCATCCTTCTGGCGGCATTCCTCGGGCGGCATCCCTCGGGCGGCATCCCCCGGGCGACATCCCTCGGGCAGCATGCCTCGGGCAGCATCCCCCGGCAGCATCCCCGGGCGGCATGCCTCGGGCAGCATGGCTCGGACAGCATGGCTCAGGCAGCATGGCTCGGGTGGCAGGGCTCGTGCGCCATGGCTCGGGCGGAATGACTCGGGCGGCATTCCTCGGGCGGCATGCCTCGGGCGGCATGCCTCGGCAG